GAATGAAAGCATACATTATTTTTTTTTTTTTCCCCCAGTCTGTTTTATGTGTTGTTAAATAGAATTTTTATGTTGTTTTTCTGAGAAATTGAATTGAAGTTGAATTGAAGTTATTTTGTAATTAGTTGTAAAAAATATGTTTAGTATAGAACAATTTATTTTCATTTACAATTGTTATGTTAAAAATGTATAGAATAATTTCTATCATTTAGAAATTATAACTTGCTTTGCAAAAATCAACAATTTCCAGAACTACTACTTGCCGTTTATTTACAAGTTTCAACTTATAATAAAACATAAAACACTGCACAGACATTACTTTGTTTCATTTACAGACAACTTAAATTACAAAAGTAATGTACAGAACAACTTAATTCATTTCATTTTTAAGTTTCCCAGCAGCCCCATTTTTTCTCTAGAACTGTCCTAAAACGAGACAAAAAGTTAAGACTTATGAAAATTATTAAGACAGGTCTGCAATCTTAAGGTTAGAAAATATGACACAGCTGGACATCCATACAAAATACTCCAGAAATCATATTTCTGGATTATCAAGTTTGCCTAAAACATTTGTGGAAATATCTTGCATGACAGCACTACCAAAATAAATTAATTAATTAAAATAAAATAAAAATACAAGTGAAAGACTCATCTACTTAAGTAGCCTCATCTACTTCTTGTCTTATTGCTGTGGGCTTTATATAGCATGAAGGATAATTGTTGTGTACACAGGAGGCCCTAGTGAAAATATTACAAATGGGCAATAGCTTACCTCCAAGCCACACTGAGTTTTTGTCCCCAGTAAAGAAATTATCATATTCAGCCCTCAATTTAATAAATACATTGTAAAATAAATATTGTTAGTTTAAGTTCACATTTTTAAGAAAGAGCCTTGACTTTTAAAATTTGCTTCGCTAGATATGAGTAAATTAAACACAATACTTACATTTATAAGTGTATTCGTCGGTCGCCACAGAACTATCACCTGCTATTTTGTTTGAGTAAAAGTCTTGTCGTCACCAGCGCGCTGTGAATTCTGGGATAGGGTAGGCTGCAAAGGATCCATCTGTTGTATCCTCCATTTGCCCGCGAAAACGGAGGGCGCATTTGAAGTCGCTTTCAAATTGCGGCAGCTTTCGTGGCATCACGGTGACACAATTGGCCTTCAAATGTGCTCTTCGAAGGATGTAGCCTTTGAATTGGGACGCAGCTAATGAGTGTTACAATTATGCTGATTGGATTAGAGCTGCTGAAAATCTGGGCAAATTCCTGTAATTGCTTACATTCTTTGCATACTTTGTCTTCTAAGGGTGGCCCCCTTAAAGTCTGTATAAAACTACAACTTTCACTGCTTCAGTCAGTCGTGATGTTAGATTCTCAATCAAGACTCTGCTAAAGATTCACAGTCACCTGGTCTTGCGTCTGAGATTTTCCTATAGGCGTAATTGGAAATTGTAGGTATTTTATCTTAAAACTTTAACTTCGCTAATACATCAATATTCATAACTAGTGCTGTCAAACGATTAATCGCGATTAATCGCATCCAAAATAAAGTTGTTTTTTTTACATAATATATGTTTGTGTACTGTATATATTTTTTATGTATATATAAATACACACACATGCATGTGTATATTTCAGAAAAATATGTTATGTTTATATATTAAATATATTTATATATATAATATAAATTATATTAATAAAAATATAGACATGTAAATACATGTAAATATTTTCAAAATATATACTGCATAACCTTTATGTGTACTTTTTTATATCACTGTGTGCTTGTACAATTTTAGTGTTTCTAACTGGAATATATATTTTTTTAATTATTATTATTATTATTATTATTTTTGGCCAGTTGATGAAACTGAACATGTACAGCTTTAATCAATGAAACCTGGATGTATTTGCTTTTTAGTGAGTATTTGTTATTCCATAGAGGGTTTTTATGGGGAGTAAAATCATGTTTGTAAATAAATGTCCAATAATTGAAATCTGATAGCTTAATAGGTAACTTGTTTATATTAGTCACATTTTTGCACAAATTATATACTGACAATTTTAATCTGGGGAAATATAAAATAGATTTCATTAAAATTATTTTAACCATTTTAATTTTAAGAGTTCCTATCAGTCAAAATCAATCGTTTTAAAATCAGTATTGTTGTATTCTTTTCCAGTACTTTCAAAGTCCGCATGAAAAAAAAAAAAGACTTTATTTACTTTACTAGCGCACATTGCTAGTCTTGATGTGAACAATTAATCCGTGCAAGTTAATCCGCTGAAAAAATTGTTTGTTTTGGTAATCTTTATTCAAATTCTGAACATTTACTTCCGCTCTGCAATTGCGTTCCTTCTCTGATGACGTCAGTTTGACGGTTTGGGCAGAATATCCTTAACCACACCCCTCCAACCGTTAGTTTGCTATGAGTGAGAGACAGAGAGGAGGAGCGCAACAATAAAACCACGCCCTCTATTCAATATTCCGTTTTAGATGGAAATACGTCACTTCACTGAAATAAAGTCGGCAGCAACTTCCGGTTCACTTTAATGACATCCTCTTTACTAAGTAAAGCTGAAATTTAATTTATTGTCTTTATATTTTTTTTTGGAGAAACTGATGGAATAAGATGAATACATTGTCACAAGGATATAGTATCAGTTAATAAATTAACAAATGCTTAAATCTCTCAAATCTACAAATTTATTATGAGTTTGAAATATCCAGTCCTGTAATTTGGACGCCAGATACTGGTGTTTATATTTGATTGAGAATATCACAAAAGCTCTGTAGTTTATCATGAATTGAAAGTACTTCACAGTTGTTTATATTCATATATAAGACTAGACATAAAGCTCATCTGTATTGATAGCGCTTTTGACAGCTCTGTAATTAATCTCTTCAATTCATCTTATATCTTAATATTTAATATTAGTTTTCTAGTGTGAAATCCTTTCATTTTGGCGAACAAGACTTTTATTTTGGTCTGGCGATGTGACGTCATAAGGCTGCGCCGCGCTCCTGCGTCTGTGATTCGGCTGAAGAAAGGTGTGTGCTTTTAATCGTTTAAAGTGTTCAAATCAATACAAGTCATTTAGAGAATTGTATATATATTTATATGTGAAATTATTTTTTTTTACTGAATGTAACACTGTAATGCTTTACCTAGTGACATAATGAAGGTTATTCTCTGTGAGTACAAAAGGTGCGTCTAATTTCTCTCCCTATATCATGAATCAGTTTATCATAAACACGAATCAGTCTCTGGCAAGTAGTAATGAGATGAACAGAGCTTTTGAAACGTTTCAATTCAGTCAATTGAATCAATTAATTCTTAAAATGATTCAGTGAGTCGAGTCCGCACGCTGCTCAAAACAATGTAAATGTAATAATGACATTTAAAAATCAACTGCAAACGTGTCCATAAGAGTGAAATGTATTAAATATAACCTATAAACGAGTAAATACCAAATAGAAATCTTAATGAACCTTCTATATATTGTGTCCCTTTATTCATTTGAGTACTAGGTTGTTGTTGTTTTTTTGTTCTTCCAGGTCATTTAAGGCCATTAACTCTTACTCTGACTGACTCTCTTACCAGTGCGCTGACTACTGAACTAGGGAGCTGATTGAGACACACCCAGATATTTAGTTTGCATTTTTCTCTCTGATAATTATTCTCATTTTAAACAGGACAAAGTGTCCAAACACACCGAAAAACTCCTGGTGAAGCAGCTGAGATCCACGTGACACACTATTATAAAGATGGCGTTTATTAAAGAGGAGAGTGAAGACCTGAAGATTGAAGAAACATTCAGAGTAAAACGAGAAGATATTGAGACGCAAAGAAAGATGGAGTTTATTAAAGAGGAGAGTGAAGACATGAAGACTGAAGAAGCATTCAGAGTCAAACAAGAAGATACTGTGGAACAAACAGGTTGGTGTTCATTCTCAAACCTGAAATCATTCATCTGATCCTTATTAAAATGTGCAGCTCTACAGAAATGAATGATATTTCAAAAGCTGTGATTCTCAACTGGTTTGTTCATGGGACCCACATTTCCACATCGTCATCAAGCTGTGACACAAAAATGGATGACCCACACTAGGGCTGCACGATTAATCGAATGCGATTGTCATGCACATTTTGTTAAAAAAGCCGGTTCTGTAATCAGCAAGAAATCATCATCACGTCAGGGACGGATTATGATTTGCAGAGGCCCCGGGGCCAATTATCTCCAAGGCCCCCCCACCCCACCATACCATTTTTTCCCGTTCTTTCCCTTAGCTGCACATTCACAGTAATAGAAAGTGGAAGTTACGATCATGAATATTCAAACCGTTATCACTCCGCGTCAAATGCCTGCGCTACCCCTGCACTAAAAAAGCACATTGTACAGGGTTTACAGAATCAATATAGGACTAATACACTTTTCTGATATTTTTCTCTCAAGTCTAATAGCTACAACGAATAATCAACAATGCGGCAGCCTGGTCTCATGAAAATGCATATAAATAGTACGCCAAATAAAAACGAAAACTCGTGGTATTGATACGCAAAAATTGACTTTGGCGTGCATATGATACGAAATTTGTTACCATATACACGCCAAAGACCATTTTTGCGTATCAATACCACGAGTTTTCGTTTTTATTTGGCGTACTATTTATACGCACTTTCATGAGATCGGGTTGATTGAGGCGTATGAAACACGTCTTTAATGAATTAACTGTCAAATATACACACATTTAGTGCATCATGAATCAAAAAATTATGTGTCACTAAACAACTCTGTGACAAACATCACATGTAAAATTTAAACATCAGATCATCACGTATAAGAAAATGCAGTTTAAGAAAACACACAATTACAAACATTTGTTTGCAGGCCCTGACAATTATACAATCCAGCATGGTTAAACAATTTCTTAGTTTCTTTCTTGTCTTCCTCCTTGCAAAGTCTTATCCACCACTTCATCGAAACTGAGCTCCTTTAAGAGTTCGGACTCAATGGCCATGAGCGACAGAGAGTTGAGACGTTCTTGGCACATTCTCATTCTCAGTTCGTTTTAGCGCTCTCCCTCGCAATTCGTAACTGGCAGTGTTAGAAAAAGTCTTAATGCAATGTACACATTTGGAAAAGTTGATTGTAAATTCAGATTAATAATTGCTGTTGTTTACAGTCGGTCTAAAGATTCTAGTCTTAGAATTTAAAAACCAGCTGTAGCCAGTCGTCCTCACAAAGATTTTATTAAACATGTTTAATATTGGCGACTGTCTATGCTCTGGAGATGCATTCGGTAGCTTATATAAACTGCACTTATTTATGAATATATAGGCTTCCTATAAATAGGCCTAGTCTAACTAATAAAAAATCAAACGTTTGTAAATAAAATAATTTTACTATATATACACTTTAACAATGTCTAATATATTTGAGGATATATGATGAGGAATTATCTCTACGACTCTCAAATTAAGTCAGAGTTTCCAGTGTTGGCCGTTGGGAGCGTTATTTACTGTAGACTGATAAATAAAGCAGTATTTTATATTTAGTTCTAACTGGTAACTATGGAACCGGAACGAGAAAAAAATAGCATTTTTGGCCAGAACGAACTAATTAGTTTTTAAGGCCTGATTTGACAATAACAGTTTACATTTTTGTTTGATTATAGTTAAAAAAAACAAAAATAAAAAAAAACAGCACTAGAAATGTTGCAATTAACTAAATGAATCAGGAAATGCTTAATGACACATTCTCACAGAACGTTTGCTTTGAAAAACGGGAGACGCGAGGAGTGGAATGGGGGTAAGGTCTAGAGACTCGTTTTAAAGGGGTCATATGATGCGGTTTCAATTTTTCCTTTCTCTTTGGAGTGTTAAGCTCTTGGTGCATAAATTCACATATCTTTATCTTTATTTTTAATTTTACTATCTGTGTTGTTGTCTCAGAGTCTGCACTATAAGCTTTGTCTGTCACCAAAACAAATTTCTTGTGTGTGCAATGGCAATAAATCTCTTTCTGATTCTGACAAATAGTACTTTTTCCTATACCGTTTTCGTTATCAAACTGGATCGCGCAACCTTAAAGCCCAGGGCCCCCCCGGGCTCCTGGTAATCAAGGGACCCTGGGCACTGGCCCCATTGGCCCGGTCAGTAATCCATCCCTGACAATAGGATGTTTGTTTCTTGATCGGTTTATTGATCTGGGATATGTATAGTCTTGTGTAGCCAGACCTTCTGACGACAGACGGTCTGGGAACTTTGGCCGCTTTGAATGGCCAAGGCTTGCCCAAGAGGCCATATGACTGACAGGTAAAGCAACCAATCACATTTCGTTTTGTGCCGTGTCATGTTTAGGGGTGTGGAAATGTCCCCACAATAACAGACCGGTGTGCAAAACTTAGACATATTTTAAAGATTCTATGCCGCGAACTTTAAATAATTCACGTACTTTTGAAAATCCAGTGTTTAGTTGATCCTGATAAACACTCGTCGCAGTTGTAAACATGACTGCTTTTTTGTTTCATGTAGAGGGTTTGGCATCAAGGTATCTTTGTTTCTAGGTGGAACATTAAAGAACGCGACACACATCTCCCGAAAATCCTGTATAATTCAATATATAATTTGATGAAGATTTGAAACTCCTGAAGTGTTTTAAATTTTGTGTGCAATATGCAGGGCTCCAGACTCATTCTTTCCACTGGTCGCTCTTTTGCGACTTACTTTCTCAGTTGGTCGCATGAGCACATGATTTGGTCGCAATTTTTATTTAATTATTTTCTTTGCTACAACATGGGATTAATCAATACATGCTGATGAACTTTTATCATAGTTTATATTTATATGGAAACAAAAGTGGTTAACATTCAACCTGTTCTTTTTCATCAGTAGTATTATTTGTCATTTGAATGTTGTGAACCGGAGTTTCTCTTTTGTTATGTTATAAGCCCAGGGCTTCGGGTGCTTTAACTTTCGAATTCGCGATATCGTCATGTTTTACAAGAGAAGATAATTGTTTGTTTTTCTTACATAAATCTATACACCTTTCACTTTTTAAGACTAAAACAAAAGATGGATTCATAGTTATTTTAAATTAAAAAGCACAACAACAACAAAACAGTAAGATACAATGACAAACTATCTTACAAAATGTTTATTAACAAAAACAAATAAGATTAGGCATGGCATACACCACATGCTGTATAATATACCGACTAATAAATTACAGAATATTTGGCAAACACTGAGGAATCAAATAAAAACAATAAATAAAAGAAAGCTTCCGTAGCATAACGTGAGGTAAACAGCAAAGATAACGAGCTTTTCAAAATGAAAACAAAAAGAAAAGAAAATCTAAACTTGCTGTTGGTGATAGTGCTTGCATGTTTATTTTCCTCGAGTACCAACATGTTCACCTTTTCTGGTTTAAGAAGCGCTCTTTTACTTTACTTAAGCATGAAAACCATCCATCCTTCGCGCTCCTGCTGACGCGGTGAGTATAAACCAGGCTCTACACTCTAAGCGCTGCGCAGTTCAAATGAGTAGCGCGGTTTCTTTATGCTTTCAGTTGCGTTTGCCGTTTGATGTTTCTCATATGCAACAGAAATGGCTGCGCTTGTGAGTTGAACAACGTGGTGGTTGCGCCAGTGCGACCGCACACAAAATGTAGTCGCACAGGCAGAAAAAATGGTCGCAAAATGCTTCATTGGGGAAGTCTAAGCTGCACAGGTTATTCAGAAGACTGAATAGGATTCCTAAAATACATTCGAACTCCAATTTTTTTTTTTTTTGGAAAATAAAGGTCTAAAGAAATATTGAATGCTTATTCTTTAAAAATAAGGTTTTAATAATTTTAGTAGTTGTAGTAGCAGCCTGTTACGTACATTCTACTCAACAATAGTAATATATTTCTGCCAATGCCCTCAAGTTAAACCGAACTTTTATTTTGACGGGTTGCCGTGAATACCTTTACATTTCTGTGTGTATGATATGGGCTGCCCCCCTAATATAATGGCAGGGGAAACACTGGAGTGACCCCATGTCTGAGGTCAGTCATTTGCATAAAACACACCCAAACCAACTCCGTATAAGGGCTTTTTCCGCACAACATTTCTATTAGTCTTTCGTTTCTCTCAGCAAACGAGTAACACTCTTTACTAAAGATGTATTCTAGCTGGAGAGATGCCTGAGAGAAATATAACTTTAATCTTATCATGATTATAAGGTGACCCAGAGTATGTTTGTTTTTCGTTTACATGTGTTTTCAGTAGCTCATACATTTTTTCCCCCTAAATTTAGAAGAAATTGTAGTATAAAAGTTTTTGTTGAATCATGATTTGTTTTTGAAAACGTTCATACACCAATGTCACACAAATTTGCATACTCTTGCATATCATATAAGATCAGGGGAAACATATAGACGGTTTCATCAGGCGCACGCCTGGTCAGTGTTTGTTTATCAGTCTAGCTATGGCACCGGCTACAAATGCAGTTAAAGTTAAGGTGATGAGTAGACTGAAGTTGGGCTCAGGTGGTTGTGCTGTGGGATGTGTTTCCCATACATTTATTTATTTGTGGCGCTCGCCACAATATCAAAAATTACAGATTTTCCAAAAGGCTTCGTTGAATAAACATGAGCACATACTGCACATTTAAAAATCATAACGAGGCGGCGGGTGTTTTTATTTCACTGTATTTCTGAAGGAAGACTAGCTTTAGAAAATTTTCGATGTCATTTACATTTCATCTTGCATGTTATATGCCTGATAAAGCAGCGTTTGTGAGCTCAATGCTGATTTGTGTACAGCCTTTACTGGGGAAACCTCTGTTTCTCCCGCTTTAAAGCACCTCCTGCTACCAGAGAATGAATTAGCATTTTCAGTAAGTCCATCTGATTTACGCAGCAAACATATTTTGCTTGTTATCAAAAATAATCTACTCTAAAGGGATTACTTAGCTGTTGTCATTAATTCTATTTGGAAGTTGTGGTGGCTTCTGCCGGTGCTGTGAGGAATCATTCTCAGAGTCTTTGGGTTTTGATGCCAGAAAAATAGACTTTTATTATCAGAGAGATAATGCAGTCTAGAGATGATCTGCAGAAAATCTATCGAGTTGGTGTCTGTACTTTCTTTTATACAGTGCTTTCCGTAGGCGTGCCCATGTTTCATACATATGGTTATTGTTTAACAACTCGTTTACCTCTTTTGGCTGTGTCTCCAGCCTGCCACCCACAAGCAGACAGGAGGCCCCAATTTATGTTCCATGACTAGAGAGGCCCCATGATATATTTTGTCTAATGTCCAAATAGGATGTGCAGCTGCACCATATACTGCAGTTTTGTAATGTCTGCACATTCCATTCTCACGCAGGCCTCTACACACAGGCAAATACATGATTATAATAGTAGAATGATTTGATACATAAATGGCTAGATTCACAATGATTATACTTGATTAGTTCATATTTTGACCAATAAAAATCTTCTACAAAGTCTACTGGAAGTTAAGTTAGGGCCACAAAAGCACGCATGCGCAGTAACGTTTGTTTATGTTGTTGCCGTTGAAACCGTCTATACAAGCATAAAAAGAAGAGGATCTAATACTGAGTCCTGTGGCACCCCATGCATTTTAAGAATACTTTTCCCATCAACTGGTCACAATCATAGACTGTATAAAAACATGGACGTAGTGTCTGTGACGTCACCCGTAGGTTTCCGAAGAGCGCCATCTTGGCAGCGCGTCACCGCACGTCACTCCCGGATAATCGAAAATGAGCAAAGAGGCGGGAGCTGGTTGCTGAAACCACGCCCACCTAGCTCGACGGTGGTGACAGCAGCGGCAATCCACCTGTCACTCAAGTGGCCACGCCCTTAATGACGCAGAACTTTAAGGCTTGATATAATTTAAACAGATGAGTTATAAAAAAATTCACCCCCCTCACAGTTGTCATGAAGGGCAAATTTAGCTATACAGACCAAAATTTTTTTTTGAACCAGGCTGTAAACATGTTTTTTTTTCTGCTGTAAAATTGGGCATTTTAACATGGGGAGTCTATGGGATTGACTCCCTTTTGCAGTCAGCCTCTAGCGGCCAGTTGTCGAATTACAGTTTAAGTCACTTCCGTGTTGGCTTCACGAGAGAGAGCGGGAGGTTGCAGCTTGGTCCCAATGCACAACACCGCTGTAATCTGCGTCAAAGACGCATGTGCACTCTGATGTAAACAAGCATGAATGAGAAGCGCATGGCGGAATTGGGGAAGGAGGGGCTTTTGAATGAAAGCGCACATTCACTGTTTGACAGCAGATGGCGCTGAACAGCAAAAATGCAGCAGTTACCCCGGAAACAAACAGCTGTGCTACTTTCAGTATGTTGTAAATAGAACGAGGCATCAGTTTACTATCGGGGATTTGTTGTGTTATGCCGTGCCACATCCAGTGTAGTCAGTCAGCATCACTGATTATAATGGGTTCTATAGTATGTTGTCGCGTTGCGCTGCTCGCGTCCGGTGTAGACAAGGGGAGAGCCACGCAGATGTACGTGAACACTGAATGCCGTTCACTTCCGTGTCTATTTGTGCCTGAAATGACATGCGCGCTAAATTGTCAAAATGCATGTCTCTGCAAGTATCCTTGTAAACTCGGTTGCTTCTGGCTTAGGTGAAAGTAAACAAGTGAGAAAGAAAATGGATGTGTAACAGTATATTTGTTCACAGCAGTTTAACGTTCGTGAGGCTTTTTGTGTCATGAATGTTAATCAAACAACAAAACAGAGAAAAATCACTGTTGTAGCTCTAACATAGATTTATTAGATTTAATAATTTCATACAGTGAAGACTATTCAGTGTTATTTTACATTTAATTATTTAATTTTTGTACCAGAATACTGTTATAATTAACTTAAAAATATTAAGCACCATTTATTTCATTTGTATCTTTGTTCTATTATATTTATCTATGCTTGTAAATTGTTTATTTTCTATGCTGTTTTACTCACCTACAAAATCACCCCAGTCATTGATTATTTTTTCTTCCAAATAGAGCTATTCAAGTCATCTGGGGATTTTTTTTCATATCGCAATATATATCGCAGAAAAAAAAAATATCGCAATGTGAGCTTTTTTCCAATACCGTGCAGCCATAGTCAGAGGCCTCTCTGACATGGTCTATTTGCATAGCTTAAAGTCCACGTTTTAGAACAATGTCTTTAAGGTTTTCCCTATGCATAATTCACTTTCCAAACCAATTCCAGATTAACCTACACACCGTGCTGAAAATATAAAGACCAAATATCAATGTCATGCTGAATTTTGACACATGGATTCATACAGTATATACCTTAATAGATAAGGTTACATACATTGTAGGGCTGTCAGTTTAACGTGCTAATTAATTAGTTATGAAAAAATAGCGCGATTAAAATATTTTAACGCAGTTAACGGACTGGCCCCACCCCCAGACCTGTACATCATCTTACATTTGACTGTTGACAAGTATGATGCAGGGCAACAACTCCTTTAATGCAGTTATGCCCTAAAATTCAAGATATTGGTGCAAAAAATGCCTCTGTATGAATTTCTGTCTCATTTAAATCATACGATATCACACGAGCAGCGAGAGCAATATCAGACAAGTGCTGATTTTGTCCTGAATATCATGAGTTTTAAACAGGGTTCGTACAAGTTGCTTAAAGTGCTTGAAGTACTTGAATTTTACTGTTTGAAATTTAAGTCCTGGAAAACCCTTGAAAACAGCCATATTTTTGAAAAGGTACTTGAAAAGTACTTGAATTTTTAAAAGGAAGTATATACGAAATTAGTGTTCATTTTTGTTTTCGGTAAAAACAATCTTTTCATGCAAAATTAACAATGCTTCTCGTGTTAAAGGGGTCATATGATAATTAAAGATAATTATTTTGTGTATTTGGTGTAACAGAATATGTTGACATGCTTTAATGTTCAAAAAACACATTATTTTTCAAATACTGTACATTATTGTAGGTCCTCTATGCCCCGCCTCTCTCAAACGCTTTGTTTTCTACAAAGTCCCTCCTTTGACAAGCGCAGTCTGCTCTGATTGGCCAGCTGACCCAGTGCATTGTGATTGGCCGAACACCGCAAGCACTCGTCGGAAATGTAACGCCCCTTACCATAATCGCAAGCTTCATCTTTCAAAATAAATGTAAAGACAGAGCCCGAAAGGTGAACAGAGTCGCGTGACAGACACAAACTTGCTAATTAGCACATTATTAGGTAAGGCGATTTGTAAAGATTCATTACAAAACATTATACTCACTTCTTCTGTAGATGAGGCTGGATCATGAATGATTCACGCGAATATAGATACATTTATGTAGATCGGGGGCGCATTCCCTTCAGAAACAATGTAATCCACTGCGAGTTCAGCGGCTCAGATGTCGGGAGTAAATGACGACTGCTATGTTCATTATTACATCCAACAACAGAACACCTCAATCGCTTAGGAGCCATTCTTGTCTACATCTGCTCCGGCGGTGAAACAGTGGCAGACTGATGACAGCTCGCTCAGGGTGGGTCTGAGGTAAGACACATTCCAGTCTGTGCTGAAACGCTACTGTCAATCAAACTATCGTGGGAGGGGCCTGTTTTTGTGACATCACACAGACAGGCATCTGAGATCGGCTCGATTTGAGAAAGGGGAAAACATTTAACCAGATTAAAAAAACACTGGGTGGATTTTTATCATTATAGGGTGGTTGTGTACACACACTGCCAACACACATTTCAGTTCAAACAACTTGTAAAAGTGCATGTAGCATCCTATGACCCCTTTAAGGCTTAAGGGGGTTGCCATTTTGCTGATGTTCAATACGAGGCTTTTGAAGAACATTTATTTGTTCACCTCACAATCATTTATAGGTGTACTAAATTGCAAATCACATTCAGCTACATTTCTGGCCATATGAATAATAACTGCACCATATTGTTATTTTTGCTCATTTTGGGGCACTGAATAAAATTGAGCTGGTTTTTCCCCCACTATATCACTACATGGGCCATAGAAGCCTGGTGTATCAAATATATGTCAAAACAACAAAAAAATGTGTCTTTGTCTTATATTATTTCAAGTTTTACATGGCTAATAACAAAATTAATATTTTATGACAAAAATAACTATAAATAAACATAACAGTAATTTTGAAGAATAGAAGTGTTTTATAGCGTGCGCAAGCCTCTTTTCCTCAGCATGCAGGCGGTGTTGATAAACTGAACTGGTTGATGGAAGAGTCACTCAGAGGCGCGTGCATGCTCCTGTGTGCGTGTTAGAAAGAATGCAAGATCGATTTGAAGTGTTTTTTGGCTGAATGTATTTTGCAACGACATCACACGACACCTCAGGTCCAAAATCTGTGGAAATGTAGAAAAATGGAAAGCTCCTCTGAATTATGTGGAGTTGGTTGATTTTGTGTGAAATCACATCAATCACAGAATCGCTAAATCCTGGAAGGACTGTTTAAGCATGATGTGATGTTGGTAACTGCCATGTTTCATAAGGGTTTGATAAATGCCAGCTTGAAATGTATTTGGATCAAGTATAGAGTTAACAATCTTGAGAAGAGGATTACAGGCAACCCATCTTTAAGTAGCTTAGTGACTAGTATCAAGCATACATGTTGCTGGTTTTGATGCTTTACATGTCTAAATGTATTGATGTATGTTGCTTCGTGCCATTAAAATAGGATTAACTTGTATTGTTCTCTTTTTGCTTTAGACCTGAAAGAGAAAAGTGAAGAACTAAATGAAGTGGAAGACAAAGATCAGTATGAGAAACATGATTTTACTGGAGAAAGTTTTAGTTGCTCACAAACTAAACAGAATTCACAAAAGAGAGCTCAAAAGACAGGACATTTCATCTGCCAACAATGTGGAAAGAGTTTCACTAAAAAAGAAACCCTTAAAGTCCACGTTAGAATTCACACCGGAGAGAAGCCTTACACCTGCCAGCAGTGTGGAAAGAGTTTCATTAAAAGTGGAACACTTCAAAGGCACATTAGAATTCACACTGGAGAGAAACCTTACACCTGCCAACAGTGTGGAAAGAGTTTTACTGAAAGAGGAAACTGTAATGTTCACATGAGAATTCACACCGGAGAGAAGCCTTACACCTGCAAACTGTGTGGAAATAGTTTCAATCGAAAAGGAAGCCTCGATAGCCACATGACAATTCATACTGGAGAGAAATCTTACACCTTACACCTGTTTGTTTGGGTTTAATTTGGGAACGCATATGAAGTCTGATGCGCTTTGTGTTGCACTGTTATCATTTTCAAGCATGAAGCACGTCTCCATCTCAGCAGCTCTGTCGACAAACTCTTCCTCTGCGTATGCTGTGAGTTTGGGTTGCTGAATGTTCATCTGGGAAAACGGATGAACTCACTAGATTTGTAATGTAAATCATTTACAAATCTGCCAACACAGGAGAATACATAAACATTTCTAAATATGCGATTTGTTGTACATTGCGATTTCAACATTTTCAAAATTCAAAAAGTTGCTCTGAGTTTGCTTGTCCAAATATTAAAATTAAAGGATTTAAACGCCATTGAATCACACTGTAAAATGAAACATCACCAGGCCGTTGGCGCCCTCTGCAGGTATTTGTTATAATACATAATGTACTTAAGTTGGTTATATTCATATTGTATATAGGCTTATTTTACTGTATGTTAATGTTAACCCCCCCTCTCCACAAAAGGTAGTGTTCATTTTCAGGCTTAAAGGGGGTTGCCATCTTGCTGATGTTCAATACAAGGCTTTTGAAGAACATTTATTTGTTCACCTCAATCATTTATAGGTGTACTAAATTGCAAATCACATTCAGCTACATTTCTGGCCATATGAATAATAACTGCACCATATTGTTATTTTTGCTCATTTTGGGGCACTGAATAAAATTGAGCTGGTTTTTCCCCCTCCACATTCTCACTATATCACTACATGGGCCATAGAAGCTTGGTGTATCAAATATGTCAAAACAAAAAACACATGGGAATTTTTTTTTTTTTGTTTTATGTTATTTCAAGCTTTACATGGCTAATAACAAAATTTATATTTTATGACAAAAATAACCATAAATAAACATAACAGTAATTTTGAAGAATAGAAGTCTTTTATAGCGTGTGCAAGCCTCTTTTCCTCAGCATGCAGGCGGTGTTGATAAACTGAACTGGTTGATGGAAGAGTCACTCAGAGGCGCGTGCATGCTCCTGTGTGCGTGTTAGAAAGAATGCAAGATCGATTTGAAGTGTTTTTTGGCTGAATGTATTTTGCAACGACATCACACGACACCTCAGGTCCAAAATCTGTGGAAATGTAGAAAAATGGAAAGCTCCTCTGAATTATGTGGAGTTGGTTGATTTTGTGTGAAATCACATCAATCACAGAATCGCTAAATCCTGGAAGGACTGTTTAAGCATGATGTGATGTTGGTAACTGCCATGTTTCATAAGGGTTTGATAAATGCCAGCTTGAAATGTATTTGGATCATTTCCTGAAGAAAGTATAGAGTAGAGCCCGACCGATATATCGTTTAGCCGTTATTATCGGCCGATATGAGCCTGTCGCCGATATATATGTATAGGCGAATATGCCGCCGATATGAAATTTTTTTTACAGAGCATATAACACAGATAAAATGCTTGAAATGGTGTAATTACTTAGTTTGTCCAGCAGAGCGCACGCCATTGTTTGCTAATGGCGACTTGGATGAAACGCTTTAAAGCTTAAGTCTATGGAAAACCATTGAAACGGTTTGAACCTCTTTCGAATGAGACCACCCCTGCGTCGATAGCCCCCGGGGTTCGGAAGTTACGGGCGGTTAAATTCGCGGTCCGGCGCCGACCGATCTAGCGATCCCGGAGGGCGGCGTTCGAGAGGGCTCCTCGAGCTGAAGGGATCCCCCGAATTTGGTGGAGATCCGCCAGCGTATTCGCGAGATAGTGACACCAGTCAACACTTTCACTTCAGTAAGGAGGTCTCTTGTTCAGGCAGCAGCATTCAAGCGTCGTCTTATTCGACCGTAAGTGCCCCGCGAAGTGGACTTCACATGATATTCCACCATGATTCCAGTTCCAAGGGAATGTACACGTTGCATTCAAAGGGCATTAAAGTGCGCGAAACGTGAATTTATATTTATTTACAGAGGTAAATTATGTCACACTTCACAGTTTTTCACAGTAAGAGGATTACAGGCAACCCATCTTTAAGTAGCTTAGTGACTAGTATCAAGCATACATGTTGCTGGTTTTGATGCTTTACATGTCTAAATGTATTGATGTATGTTGCTTCGTGCCATTAAAATAGGATTAACTTGTATTGTTCTCTTTTTGCTTTAGACCTGAAAGAGAAAAGTGAAGAACTAAATGAAGTAGAAGACAAAGATCAGTATGAGAAACATGATTTTACTGGAGAAAGTTTGTTTAGTTGCTCACAAACTAAACAGAATTCACAAAAGAGAGCTCAAAAGACAGGACATTTCATCTGCCAACAATGTGGAAAGAGTTTCACTACAAAAGGAAACCTTGACGCCCATATGAGAATTCACACTGGAGAAAAGCCTTACACCTGCCAACAATGTGGAAAGAGTTTCACTACAAAAGGAAACCTTGACATCCATATAAGAATTCACACGGGAGAAAAGCATTTCATCTGCCAACAATGTGGAAAGAGTTTCACTAAAAAAGAAACCCTTAAAGTCCACATGAGAATTCACACCGGAGAGAAGCCTTACACCTGCAAACTGTGTGGAAATAGTTTCAATCGAAAAGGAAGCCTCGATAGCCACATGAGAATTCATACTGGAGAGAAATCTTACACCTGCCAACAGTGTAGAAAGAGTTTTAGTCAAAAAGGAAACCTCAAAGTTCACATGAGTGTTCACACTGGAGAGAGCCTTTTCAACTGCCATCAATGTGGTAAAAGTTTCACTATAAAGGGAAACCTTGAAGTCCACATGAGAATTCACAATGGAGAAAAGCCGTTCATATGCCCTAAGTGTGGAAAGAGTTTCTGTCAAAAAGGAAACCTCAAAGGCCACATGAGTGTTCACACTGGTGAGAAATGTGAAGAACTAAATGAAATGGAAGACAAAGATCAGTCTGAGAAACATGATTTTACTGGAGAAAGTTTTAGTTGCTCACAAACTGAACAGGCAACACAAAAGAGAGCTCAAAAGACAGGAGCTAGAAGTCATTTCATCTGCCAACAATGTGGAAAGAGTTTCACTAAAAAAGAAACCCTTATAGTCCACATGAAAATTCACACCGGAGAGAAGCCTTACACCTGCCAACAGTGTGGAAAAAGTTTCATTAAAAGTGGAACCCTTCAAAGGCACATTAGAATTCACACTGGAGAGAAACCTTACACCTGCCAACAGTGTGGAAAGAGTTTTACTGAAAGAGGAAACTGTAATGCTCACATGAGAATTCACACCGGAGAGAAGCCTTACGCCTGCAAATGGTGTGGAAACTGTTTCATTCGAAAAGGATGCCTAGAGAGCCACATGAGAATTCATACTGGAGAGAAACCTTACACCTGCCAACAGTGTGGAAAGAGTTTTAGTCACAAAGGAAACCTCAAAGTCCACATGAGTGTTCACACTGGAGAGAGCCTTTTCAACTGCCATCAATGTGGTAAAAGTTTCACTATAAATGGAAACCTTGAAGTCCACATGAGAATTCACAATGGAGAAATGCCATTCATATGCCCTAAGTGTGGAGTTTTTGTCACAAAGGAAACCTCAAAGGCCACATGAGTGTTCACACTGTGGAAAATCTGGCTCAGACCAAGCAAATCTTGGGATTAACATGAGAATTCACAGTGAAGAGAACCCTTTCATATGCCATCACTAAGTAAAGATTTAATTCTAAAGAAAACTTAACAGAAAATAAAAACAAAACAGAAATAGTAAAAGCAGGCCCAGTACTCTTTATTTATGTTACCTCCCTGACCCTAGACTGGGGTCGTAACAAATAACTTTATTCATTTAGCAGAACATTGTTTTCTAACATACCTTATGCAATTTCAGGGAATTTGCAAAAGGAATATAGTCATTTTTACCCTTTTGTTAAAGTGCCAACATTCTCCATTAAAAGTTTGCATGCTTGTTTGGAATCATATGATACATGAGCTTACCTAATTTTGTGAGCTTACCTATTTTTTTAAGTTTTTGTTTAATCTTTCGGGCACACTAGGTGAAGACCATATTTTTATAATTATAAAGTTGTTTAGAAGGAAGAGAGTTGTTCCTTCTGTTGTTCAGCCTCTGTTAACCTTGTCTAATAGGTGCTCAAAATTCACTTCAAAGCTGTGTTTTTTGAGATACACAAATGTCCTCATAAGACAGTCGTGGCACCTTGGACAAAGACACTGCAGCTGTGTGTCCCAAAGTGAAGTGTGCGCTCTTCGAAGTGTATGGACTTCGAAGGCCATGCCTCCGAAGTGCACGAATGACCCTTCAAAGTGCATGAGACGCTCTGCTTTCGCAGGATTTCCTAATTCCGCCACCAGTTTTTCCCGATTGCCACTCCTGTCGCAGAGCAATGGTGTGAGAGAACAGCTGCCATCCTGACAGGATTAGTCAATGAAAAACGTTTTGGGGCCAGCATTGCTCATATTTGTTTTATACTGTAATGGAGGAGATGGTGGCAATGTTTCACCCCCAGCGGCACCGGGTGATGTACCTCAGGCTTAGCCAAGACCGTGGCCAGGTAAGTTACATTGTTTTGTTGCGTCCTTGCCGGATTACAACTTTAAATGCAGGCATTGCGTTTGAACTGACTTGAATAATGTAATGATACATATGACAAAATACACACACACACACATATATATATATAGCGGTTCAAATGCTGACTGATATCTTACGAAGGTGCGATTTTATAATAGTTTATTGTCTTGACCATGGTGAACATATTTAGAAAGGTTTGCAACCCTGATTTTAGGCAGTTAAGTAACCATAAAAATAAAACTTTTAATAAATTAAAACAAATTGAGCACTGTTCAGCTCAATGTTCAGTGGCAGCTGTGACAGCTGAACAGTGCTCCGTAGGGCCGGTCCAAGTCCTTTGGATGCAGGTTTTGATATGGGTTGCAGCTGTAGTTAGCAACAATTTGTTAATATTCTGAAAATAAATGTTAGTTTAATTTTCAAAATGACCAGTGGTGGACTGTAACGAAGCACATTCGTTAAGTATTCAGAACAAATGTGAAGTAGGTTACTGTGATGATTTGTTCTCACAGGACAGCAGCACTATAAAAATATGGTCTTTTGATGCGTTGTTGTAGATTAAACTGCCCAACAGTATATGAAGTAGGCTATTTTAAATTTAACAACCTTGAACATATTCAGAAGTAAAATGCAACATACACAGTAGTGCAGCAGTAATATTAATGCAAAACCATCCTGACGAATTCTTTTTCAGAACAATACATACCTTCGCTTTTATTTTCCATACTTTAAGTATATTACAATATGCAAGATAATACTTTTTATGTTCACCCAGAAATGAAAATTCGGTCATCATTTACTCACCCTCAAGTTGTTCCAAACCTGTGTACATTTCTTTGTTCTGCTGTACACAAAGGAAGATATTTGGAACAATGTTTGTAACCAAGCAGATCTTGCCCGCATTGACTACCATAGGGAAAAAAATACAATGGTTGTCAGTGGTGAGCAAAATGATGACTGAATTTTCATTTTTGGTTGAACTATCCCTTCAACTAAGGTTTTAAATTGGACTAGTACATTCCATCAGTGTGGTATTAGTAGTTACTAAAAATAGTTTCCTAATGTATCTCAATATTTCTTCTACTGATTACTTTGTCATAGCTCTAAACAATTTCTCTTTTCCTTCTACCTGTGTACATTTCTTTGTTCTGCTGTACACAAAGGAAGATATTTGGAACAATGTTTGTAACCAAGCAGATCTTGCCCGCATTGACTACCATAGGGAAAAAAATACAATGGTTGTCAGTGGTGAGCAAAATGATGACTGAATTTTCATTTTTGGTTGAACTATCCCTTCAACTAAGGTTTTAAATTGGACTAGTACATTCCATCAGTGTGGTATTAGTAGTTACTAAAAATAGTTTCCTAATGTATCTCAATATTTCTTCTACTGATTACTTTGTCATAGCTCTAAACAATTTCTCTTTTCCTTCTTTCCCTAAATCAGACCAGAACCCTGTACTGCAGGATAAAGCTGAATGTGCCAGCGCTGGACAGGTTTTTAATGGTTTTCGGCTGAGCAGGGAGACAGTGCTGCTGGATCTTCTGAGAAGTGAACGGTAACACACGGCCTGATTTTCGGCTGAGCAGGGAGGCCCTGACATTGCTGCTGGATCTTCTGAGAAGTGAACGGTAACACGGTTGGGGTGCTACAATCGAGACCCTGGTGTTTCTTTTCTGGCTGGCGTGTGGTACATAATACATAGTGGTTTCCAGAGTGTTTGACGTGCCTCGTTCCACTGTCCACCGCATTGTCCACCAAGTTGCTGAGGAGGTGCTGGCCATTCACCACAAAGTGATTCACCTCCCGAAGACCCCAGAAGACCTGGAGGCAGTTTGCCGTGGGTTTGCAGGGCTGGCAAGACACAGAGCTTTCTTGAAATCTGCAGGAGCAATCGACGGTTGCCATGTCCGCATCAAGCCACCAAGCGGCCCTGATGGTCAGTGCTACAGGAACAGGAAACTGTTTCCATCTATTATCCTGCAGGCTGTTTGTGACCATCAGGGCCACTTCATTGACACCTACGTGGGCTGGCCTTGGTCAGTGCATGACGCACGAGTGCTCCACCACAGCCCACTGTACAGGAGGTCAGTGTACCCTCCTCCAGGGCACTTTATCCTGGCAGACGGAGGTTACACATGCCTCTGACACCCACTCCACCTCATCACTCCCTACAAGAGGCC